ATCTCACAGTCTTAAAAGTCTCTCTTGAAAACACACCCGGAGCTAATTCAAGGTAGTGGGTTGAGCACTGTATTTACTTCCCTTCCCAGGCCAAATCCTATGGAAATGAGGGAATGATACATGCTTAAAGAAAGAATGAATTCAAAATCATGTTAGAAAATAAGAATGAATACAACAAGTAGAAGCAAAATAACTGAGGCATTCAAGAAAGTGAGAGAAACCTAATGGAAAAATTAGCAAAAGTTAACAATAGGCAATTCATGGAAGGCTAATAAACATATCCTTATTAATAATAAAATATAAAATAAAGCAGCAATGAGATAAGGATTCTATTGTTTGATGTTTCTATTTGCTCTGGCTCATGATACCTTGTTTCTTTGTGTGTTCTTTAATTTTTGCCTGTGAACTCATGCCTTTTGAATTAGATCTTTCATAATCCTCTAAAGTCTGGATTTATGGACGTTATTCCAAAGAGGATCTTTGCTTCAGCCAAGTGCATCAGGATGTGACCAACCCAAGGCTATCCTAAAATAAGTTATTGGTTTGAGGTATTTTAGGGCATTACAAGTAATACAAATTTGTCTTAAACACTCATAAGAGGGATGGATCTATTTAGGAATTCTCTGGGGATATTTTCCAATCTCATTCCAGGGCCAAGGTAGAGAAAAGAAAGTTTTCTTTCTGCAGTACTGTTTTTCTTTAACTTTTAACAAATTTACCCTTAAATTGCAGGTACGGCACTCTGAGGCTGTAGCATTTTGCAGGTATCTCTTAGCAGACTCCACACATTGAACAGGCCCTAGACTTGGTCCAGGCTCTGTACATCCATCAAAATAGAAACCCAAGGCATCAGGTTTTAGCAGGTACCCTCAGGAAGAAAGCCAGCTTTGGCGTTCCTTGTCTTTCTAATTCCTGCTTTTGGGTCACACTTTGTTTTGTTTTTTTGTTTTTTTTTGTCAACTAAGTGATATATTTCAAATGGTGTCTTTAATAATTTAACTAACATATTTAGTTGTTTTTCAGTATTCACATATTGAATGGCACCATAGTGCCAGAAATAAAAGTCTGTTTTTATTGGTTTTTATTTTGGTTAATCACCTTTCTAAAGGAATGTAGTATGATTCTTATTCATGGAGAACTCATAATCTAATAAGGGTATGTAAGAGTGAAACAAAATTCAAGCATACTGTAAGAATGACATCAAGGGAAGATGACACAGTGACACAGTACAGAATGTACTATGTATGGGAAGCATCAAATGTAGAAAATAAAAGTCCCCATTTAATTGATTAAATAGCAGTTAAATTCTGAATTAAATGAATTTGGGATTTGTAGAAAGAAAAGGTAACTAAAATAGCACCTTACGGAAAGGGGAGATTTTCTGTGTGAAGTATGGAAAAATGAGGCTGGTAAAAGGAAATTCAGTAGTATCATACAGGTAAAGCATTTTGTGGGTTTCATAGAAAAGCTTTAATTCAATTGATAGTAATAAACAATAAACTTTTAATGGGAGTGATGGTATAAGCAGTATTAGTAAAAAAAAAATCATTTGAACCACTCTGAGCTGGAGAGAAGCAAGCAGAGAAAAGATATAAAGGGGTTTCTTCAGTCAGCATGAAAAAAAATTAAAGGGCTGAACATAGAAAACCACAGATATGAAAACAAAACACAGATAAGAAAACAAGCAAAATTTCGAGGAAAAATAGAATGTAAGAGTAGGAAGAGTTAGATCGGCAAAATAGCGTTCATAGGAATTCTACTGCAAGATGGCAGCGCCTATTTATATGGAAGATCTGGTTAAGAAACTAGGTTTCCATGTATTAAACTTCATATAGTCTTAGGCATCCAAGGAGAGTTTAACTAAGCTCTTTCAGGCCCCATTTTTTCCACCTGTTAAGTCACTGCACCTGCGCCCTCCTGACTGTACAGCATCTCTGTGGACAATCACATCTAAGATGCTTAACTAGCTCTCTAGGGGGATGTTCCTCAACCTACATATTCAGCTGGAGAGCTCTTTATTACGCTCCATACTCACATATCCAATGGCTTCTTAGACCTCTTTTTTGAGAATTAGTGTTAAAGCAGCACCTCCATCTTTGAATAGCTAATAAGTGGAGTCATTACCTCTTTCCCTACACTGACTCCTATTCCTGTATCACATCTCTCCATAAATCACACCATCATTTCATCTGGCACAAGACTGGAAATCATCCTTGAACCCTCCTTTTTTCCTACTAACAAAATCTCATTAATGACCACGAACTGATGAGATTAACTCCTTAAGAATTCTGATTTGCCCCTCTCCTCTCTACCTCTACTGTCGCTGGCTTAGTTTAGGCTCATATCATGTGTCAGCTGGGTTATTTCAATTGTTTGCTAATGGGACCCTGGCTCTAGGTCCATGTGCCTTTAATGAATACTTCCCACTGCACCAACAGTGTGTCCTTCCAGCAACAGAAATCTGATCACATTACTCCTAGCAGGCTTAAGAGTCTTCACCACCTTCCCTACTGACAGATGCTCATGATTCTCAAGTGAAAATATGGAAACTCCAGATGTGTTACTCCAGGAAGGCAAGGTCCTTTGGTCAAAAACCACTGCTGTTGTCAACCAGCATTACTGATAGGAATGGACCACTTCAGTGTGTCTCGAGGAAAAGATCGATCACCCTATAGGAAAAGGCCAACCTAGATGTCCAAGGATGTCCACTTTCTGGGTCCTGACAACATCTCCAGTCTCATCTCTCTCAGTGCATACTCCTCTATTTCCCCCCAAAATGGGACTCTCCATGTATCTGAGTCCTAACTGCAGTTCCCCAAGGCTGCTGGGCTGCCTCGTGCATTCTACTATTTGGTATTAGTTCTCTCCTTCCAGGATTCTCTTCTCCCACTTGTCTGTCTGACAAATGGCACTCATCTTTCAAGACTCACATTAAATGTCCATGTAATCAAATCCAATTTTTTCCACAAAGCCTTCCCAAGTCTCCACTACCATGACGACTCCCTGTCATGAGTACTTCTATCATTACACCAAGGGCATGCATTACTTTTACAGGTCTCTCTTTCCGCTAAGGAAACGTAGCTTCCTTAAGGGCAGGCTCTGTACCTTATCATGCTCTGAATCTTTGGCACCCAGTACAGTGCCTGGTGTCTAGCCATGTTCAGAGAAGGCTTGTTCAGTGACTGACAGAAAATGTAAGGACTCAGATTTTCTGCATAAAGATACTCTAAAAACACATTAAAAAAACTAGAGATACAGACCTGAATTTACCTTCATAGAAATGGCTGTTTCCACACATAAGCACCCAGGAGCCAGAATTACTACAGTAATACATGCATGCAATAAACACCATCTGATATATTCTTACATATTTTAAATTCTCTTTATCTTTTAATAATGCTATAATGATATGGTCAATTCTGCAAAGCCTAATAAAGAGTACATATTCAGGAAATATTAATTTGAAATAAATTGCTCTGGTTTGATATTTTGTGACAAAGAATTGATGCTCTATGTAAAATAGTTTGTTTCTGAAATTAAAAAAAAAACTTCTGGGATTCTCTTTTATACTTAACTATATTCATACCAAAAAAAAAAATCAGGACTCAAATTTATCAGTATCTAGAAATTTCAGATTATCAAAAAATAAACATATACATATATAAAAACAGACAGTCACCAAATTTCTTACATCTAAACTGTGTTACTGGAGGTCCAAGTTAAAGCTAGAGAAGCTGTATTTCGCTGACAAAAAATTTTAGGCCTTCGTAATAGAGTCAGAACCTTAATAACAAGGATTTCACTTTAGTGACATTCAAGATTGTACATTATATTTTTAACACATCAGACACAGCTACAATTATATTTATGTTAGAGCTGCAGTTTGTCAAGTGTCTTATTAGAGTGTTCTAAATGCTCGTCTGGGTAAATTTTGGTTTATTAAACAATTATAAGTTGTCACTCACTGTAAATGGATTTACTTGGTGAGTCGTATAATAAATACCACACTAATCGGGTAGAGACTTCTTAAAAAATAGAAGTTAGTCACCCTTAAGTAGGCCTATTTCCACTTAAAATTGACAGGAATAATCTCATGAAGAAAAGGCAGAGAACGGATATCAAGAAAGAAGGGTGTGGGGGAAGTTCTGAAATTACACCTTAATGGAGAAAAAAAGAACCAAAAAAAAGAAGGAAATCCAGTGCAGTAAGACTAGTGAATGTTAGTTCCTTGAGTGAAGAGGCACAGAGAGCTTCTGGAATGCCACAACCTCCCTTAAGCCCAAACAGGTTTGGTAAGAGTAACAACTACTGCATCTGACCTTTTACACACTGGTAGAAAGTGACATGATGACCCTTTGGAGGCAGGTTCATCGGCCCTGGGAGGATGTCGTGGAGAGCTGGCATCTGGGGGGATGGCAGCCATTTGGAAGGTCACATAGAGCTCAGCAGGGGTGTTCCAGTCCACCACTGCTGGTACAGGGATGAGCTTAGGGGTCCACTAATCAACTCTTTTTTTCTAATGGTTACGTGCATTTCAAGTGCATGTGGAAAAGCAGAACTACCACAGCAAATCCATGGTTTTGTGGGTGTTATGACTTGGGATGAGGCTGAGTTAAAAAAAAATGGTGGTTTTAAACATATTAAGTAAATAAGGATACGAGTGAAAGGCAGTTAAGGCAAACATACTAAAGGTGTCCTGCCAAGTACTAAAGTCAGAAAAACACTGGTATAAACTAATGAAGAAGTAACTGCTTTCAGATTTGTGACAGTGCATTTCTGGGGTCTATAAGTCAGGAATTGGGTAACATGAATCTAAATCCACCAAACAAATGGTATGAACGTCTGGATCACATCAAGAGTGCTTTGGTCTTGGAATGTAAGTGACCTGGAACAGAAACTCAGAAGTATCACCAAGAAAATTCCCATAGACTGCCCTTGATTATATGGCTGAGAAATAAAAGCTGATGACCAAACTCATATGTAGCACAAAATGTATTTACCTTCCTTTTTTAATCGTGTTCCTGCCAAGCAATGGCTCAAGGACTGGGTCGATCGTTTCCTCAAGGTTTTCAATTAAGACGACATCTCCAAAGGCCAAAGCAGTTTCAATGTCATTCAAAAACCTTAAAATTCAGTCAGAAGCAAAATAAGATAAAGAAGCACAGAGAAAATGTTCAAAATTACTTATATTAAATTATATTGAATTTAATATACTTTAAATGGTACAAACTAACTTAAGGAAATACTATTTTATAAAGTAGTATTCTTTGACTAGAATACATGGAAATTAAAGATTAGATTGCGAGATAAATTTCAGAATTATATTTTCCAAGTGAAATTCAATAGTATGAACTAAGAAGTTCATGTGTAATTTACTCACTTTAGACAATGATTATGGTTGAAATAAATGTAATTTGCCCAAACATCATAAATTTATTCAATAGGTCCTCTTTGGTTAAAAAATTCAAATGCTATTAAATGCCTTGTGGTTTTTTAATCAAATTTTCATTTTTAGATTCACTTTTAGATTCGATCATATAAGGCAGTAAACTATCATTTTATTTCACTCCCCCCCTCCAAAAGTAGTCTCTCCCCTTCAAAAATAATTTTCTCCAAGCATTCAGATAAGCAAGGCAGACCATTTATCTGCACAACTGCAGACATTTCTTATTTCATCTTACACATCAAAAGACGATGGGGGGCTGAAATGAAATATCAGGAAGTCTAAAATTATTCATTCAACATTTACTGAAGATCAGCTACATATGAGACAGCTTTCCACTTACCAGCCAACATTGTCATGCGGCCCAGTGACAGAAAAATCTCAGAGCAGATTTGGTTCTCAAAAGCGACATGTGAAGCCTGACTAAGAATTATCTCAGGCACTCAACGCTGGGACTTGAGCCATGTTAAAAACCTACTGTAGGCCAAAACATATTTAGGAATAAGACTGTAAACATCATTAAGCATGTAGGTGCAGGTGACAATTCTTGTGTTACTACGTGCCAAATGCCCTACAGAGGGTTATAATACATCATATTTCCTTAGGAAATTTTTCCTCTCACGTTCAGTGTTTGTTCTAACCTTCCTTCTAACTTCTTCAGGTAAGTGGATGCTGCCTGACATATATGCCCTTTTGACAGAGATACTTAATGTGAAATGTAAGCAGGCAGATAAACAAGCTGTACTCAACTGTCACATTTCAAAGTGGCAGAGAGTTCTAAGAAATGCCAGGACTTGGTAAAAATCAGACCCCTTTCCAGCAGCTCAACTGAAAGTCAACCCTTCAGATTTCACGTACTCTTTCTGGCCCAAGCATGTGACTCTCAGGGAGGTTCCATACTTATTCTTGATCCACTTAATTCCTTGCTGCTGGGGATCTATCATCAGGGGCCAGCGCTCGCAGTGGGTGAGGATCGCGGCGTTCTCGGTTGACATTCTGTCACTGGGCAGTCCTTCGTTATTCCAGGCGGCGACTGTGGCATCATCTGTCAGCATGGTCATCACGTCCAGCCCTTCAGTTATGGGAATGGAGACCTTTAAAATCAGAGTCAAAGGCAATCAACTGGCAGTGTGGTGGAGCAGAAGACTCAGCATGACAGCTGAGAAAACAAGAGACCAAGGGCAAGAGACCACATGCAAGTTCTCCGCTAACTCTCCAGAGCCAAAGAAAATTCTCATCAGGAAATATGATGAGACTCCATAAACCTTGCATTTACAGAATTTCTGTCAGCTGCAGCATTCAACATCTGGTTTGTTACCGCATCCATCTAGCTTCAAGCGACTTCACATACCTACAACCACCTCAACAAGGTGAGAGTGAATTTAGACTCCAGGAAGTATGACAGGACAACAGAAGTGTTATTTGCCCGATGGAGTAATTACCCCACATAAGCAATGATGAAATGCACCCTCTTGTGTGGGCATTTCATCTTTTTCTACAGGCCAGCACTACAAAAAGATAACTTTTTCTGGGACGGGGGTTAATGGCATGCATTCAGTCTCCTGTAACTCCATCAGCTCGCACCCGAGGAACTTAGATCACAGCCTCTACTTTCAGAGGGAACTGGAACTGTCTACACTGCGATGGCGGAGAGAAGCATTACAAAGTTGGGAGTTGTCTCCATTAAAAGAGAGAGAAGGAGAACTCTATTTTAAAGATAAGGATCAGTTCTTTACCAAAATTGATTGATTTTGCAAAAAACAAATTAAAACAAACAAAAAAACCCCCAAGGTTGTAGAAGGGAACTTATGAAGGAATTTATTCGATCTGTCATCCATCATCATACATTTATTGAGCACCTCCTGCATATGAAACGCTGTCTGGAGATACCACGATCAGCAAGATGAATACGGAGCTAGGCCCCTGGCTGTGTAGGGGGTGGAACGTGGACACCTGATGGAGTAGGCAGGGGAAGCTATAGCAGCAGCTGGATTTCTTGGTTAGCTCAAGAGCTTCAGCACACAGAATGCTGGAAGAAGCCCGACAGTAAAGCCGGCATGCAATTTGATGTCAATATAGGAGACGCAGCACAATATTCCTACTGTCCCTGGCAATGTTATCGTACAAATGAATCAAACTCTATCTCCCAGTGATAGGAACAAGGAGCCCTGGTATCTGACTCAACCAGCAAGTTATTTAGAATAAGCATCCTCTTATTAGCAAAAGCTCTGTGTCTTTAATTCCTTAGCTTCTACTTAATACAAGCAACTTGAAATAACGAGATAAAATAACTTTAATTTCTGATTCTATAAGGAGTAACAGAAGGTACACATGTAGATCTTGTGTCTGAATTCAATAGTGTGAATTGTTTGAGCACCAACTGTGTGCAGGGTGGAGCGCAGGGGATCAAAGAGAAGTCCCCTTTTGTTAACAGCCACTTTAGTCAGGGAAATAAAGCAGGCAACTCACATTAAAGAATACGATAAATACTGTAAAATACTTAGAGACTTAAATTTTTAGAAGTGAAGTTTAGGGTATTTTCTTTATCATATTAAATTCAAATAAGTAGTTGTGTGACTACATGCAGAAATTTTTTCATCAAAAATTATTTTGATGGTTACAGTACAGTTACCACTTTTGTAATAAATTTTAACCTCCGTTTAGACTAGGGAAAATAAATCTCAATTCATATGTATATTCTTTTAAATCCACTCTTCTTTGCAGAATTCCTTGAAGGAGTCTGCAGAAAAGAATAGAGTGTGGAAACCAAGTGCAAAGAGGAGGCCCTTGACACCCGAAGTCAGCCTCCCAAGTCAGCACGAATCCATCCAATAGCTTCCTTAAGTAGTGTCAGCACGTCAGTCAGGATGGAGCTGGGGCAAAAAAGGAAGGAGCCTCCCCTCTGGTTTTCTCAAAGCTTTTAGGAAATAGAAAAGAGCAGACTGGAAACACATACCCTGAGCCAAGTCAGACTCGTCCTAACACCAAATGTACATCAGAATCCACTGAGACCTGACCTAGTGGCACATTCCAAAGGAAAAAAGGGAACTTCTGATGAGGCAAGACTCCCAGTTTCTCCTAATATGATGGTAACAAAACAGCCACTATTGATAAGGCTTTAAGTGTTTACAAAATTTACTCATAAACATTCACTCTGTTCCTTGTCTCATTTAACTCCCATAGGAGTTCTGCAAAGTAAGTATCTCTCTCTTTCCCCCTTAGGACATTAAGGCTTTGAAAGGTTAACAACATGCCTAATAACTCTATGTATTTGTTCTGTCTCTAAACTGCTATGTGAGGTTAATGAGCAGAGCACAAATGCCTCCTTGAACTTGCCCACGTCTTCATCGGTCTGCTCAGGAGACGATAACTTTAGACGGAAACAATTTTGGACTACAATTTTACTTGGACCCTCAAGACCACGTATATCCAACCATCCCTGTCCTTTTCAGGTACCACCATGCTACTCTGTTTCTCCCCCTTCCATCCTCCAAACTCCAGCCCCCACTACTGTGCTTTCTGACAACACTTCCCATATGCCCTTCAGTGTCCTAGTCCTTTTGGGACCAAATTCCCTTGTTCCGTCTGCCTGCTTGTCCTAACTAAAACCCAGCTCTTCCCTAGGGCAGGGGCTCTCAACCCCAAGCTGTATATTAGAACCACAGGAGAGCTTTCAAAGCTGCCACCCTGACTCTAATGATTCAACTTCAACTGGCATCATATGTTTTCACTCCCACAAGATTTAAACATGAAGCTGGAGTCCAAGAACCACTGCCCTAGGGTCTCACTTCCCTTGAGGGCTTTCTTAAGTAGACAGCTCATTCTCTTAATACTCTCATTACTGAAAAGAAAAAAAAGTCTGTGGGAAAGAGCTGTCATTCTTCTTACTTCCCTGCAGATCATTCCAAGACCACAGCTCCTCCAACCTTAAGGAAAAAATGCCACCTTTGAGGTCCAAGGAGTCCAGCTATACAATCTCCCATGTGTCCTCCTCATATTAATTAGCTATTGGTCCTCTCACTTTCTAAGTTTAGCTGTTGACCTGTGATAACCTCAGTGCTCATGGAAACAACGAATCCACTCTCCAGCCCTGATAACCTTCATGCCAAAGCTCTATATTTCCTTTCCACCCTAGCCTTCTGGGGGAAGAGGTGGAAGGGGAGAAAACAACAGAACCAGCTGGGAAGATTATACACCAGCCCCATACCAGCCACACACCCCACCTGCAATGATGTTGGTATGTCTTGGTTGCGTACTATCCTATCTCCTCCTTTAGATGAGAAATGCTGCCCCAGACCCTGTAATAAGCTGAAAGAATTTCACTAGTGAAACCTAAACTTTTAATACCCAATTCTTTAAACATGATTCTCTCTACCTCTCTCACACCTTTCAACATAACACTCTTACGAACAGCATTAAGACATCTAGTCCTTTACTCACCATGTATTTTTCATTGTGGCAAAACACACATAAAACTTGTCATTTTAATCTTTGAAAAGTGTACAGTTCAGTGATGTTAAGTGCATTCACATTGTTGTGCAATCATCACCACCTTCCATCTGCAGAATTTTTTCATCTTCCCAAACTGACACTCCATACCGTTATATAGTAATTCCTCATTTCCCTGGCCCCGCCCCCAGCAACTACCATTGTACTTTCTGGTTCTATGAATCTGACTATTCTAGGTACCTCATATATGTAGAATGAAATAAAATATATGTCCTTTTATGACTGGCTTATTTCACTTAGCATAGCATCTACAAGGTTCATCCATGTTGTAGCTTGTGTCAGAGTCTCCCTCCTTTTTAAGACTGAATAACGTTTCACTGTATGTATATGCCATGTTTTCTTTATCCATTCATCAGCTGATGGCTATTTGGATTTCTTCACCTATTGTGAATAATGGTGCTATGAATAAATATACAAATAACTGTTTGAGTCCCTGCTTTTCCTGCCTTTGGGTAGTAGATTTCAGAAAGTGGAACTGTAGGATGAGGATATGATATGATATGATAATTCTACATTTATTTTTTTTTTGAGAAACCCTACCATACTTTGAATCACTAACTTCTAGCTACTCCCACTTCTCAATCCAACCTACATAGAGTCTTCTATTCCTTAACTGCTCTTCTGACTGTCACATGACCTTCCCTGCCTTTTCCTCCTGGCTCACCTGCATTTATAGCTTGCACCTTGGCTGGACTTGACATTCTCTGTCCTTTCTTTTTGCTGCCAGACTGTGACTATTGCTGCCAAAAGCTTTATTACTATGACTACAAATGTAGATTTTCCAAATTCATCCTTGATTTCTCAAAGCTGCTTGGAAACACTTAACATCTACTCTCCGACTGCCCTCAATGGGTATTTCTGATGTTTCTACCAGTCTCTTCAAAAATGTTCTCCGAGTCTCAATTTTCTTATCTTTGGCCAAGTGGCACTGCATCTTCCTGCTTCCCCGAGAGGAGAAAGCCCAGCAGTGACCACTGTGTCAGCCTTCTTTCTATCAGCATCTCTGCCTGGGTCCACTGTCTGGGACCCTTCCCTGGGTCTCCTTCCCTCCCGCCTATGTTGGAGGAGTCTTGCTTCTTCTATCTGAGGCTCATTCCATTTTCCTTCCTCCATATTCTGAAGCCCATCCCTTCTTCCCAGTTCCTGATGGACCGACCTCTTCACCCTTTTATCATCAGCATTTCCTTTTCCATTTCTTCTCCAGAAGCATAGAAACATGCTCTAGTCTCATTCATACTGAAAAAATAAACCCTTCACTTAGCTTCATGTCCCTCACTCAGTACTTCTGTTTATCTCCTTCCCTTCACAGGCCAATTCCTACAAGAACAGTCTGTCCTTTCTGCCTACTTCCTCACTTCCTAGGTAACTCGGGGACAACTGGCTTCTGGCTCATTACACCCTCGTGGTCACAAGAGACCTTCACATTTCCAAATCTGAGGACACTGTCAGTTGTCAGTTCTCTTCTCACTTGACTCTGTGGCTTTGGCATGACTGACTGTTCCTGTTTACACGCTTACCTCCTATGACACCACTCCAGCCTGGGGTTTCTCCCATCTCTGCTCATTCCTCATCCTCCTCTACTCCC